ACGTAAATTCTCCAATTTGGCTTGGGTTGAATTTGTTCGGACTTGAAGTCGGCAAGACCCCCCGTGAATTCGGCCACAAAATCAGCAAGTACTTGCCCCTTGATTGAGGTTCTGGGCAGAAATTGAATATCGTACTGGCCAAGTTTGAGAGCCCACTTTGAAATGCGCCCTGATACTTTTGCACTATGTAGTACTGACCGGAGGGGGTAATCTGTTAGAACCCCCCGATGCTATGCCCTTGGAAGTAATGCATCAATTTTCTTACTGCCATGACGAGGGCTAGGATTAGTTTTTTCAATGGAAGGTAACGTGTTTCGGCGTCAACCATTGCCTTGCTCACATAATACACTGGTCGCTGCTCCCCAAGCTCTTCTTTTAACAGTACGGTGCTGACGGCCTGGTCGGAGACAGCCAGATATAAAATAAGCGGGTCGCTTGCTGATGATGTTGTCAATAGTAGAACTGATTGGAGATAAGTCTTCAGACTGTTAAAAGCGGCTTCGCACTCAGAGGTCAATTCAAAAGCTTTACCCTGTCGTAGGGTATGAAAGAATTGTCGGTAGCGGTTCGTGGAATGACTGATGAACCTGTTGAGTGCGTTGGCCATCCCCATCAACTTCTGAACTTCCTTGACCGATCGAGGGGAGCCGAGTTCCAGGATTGCTGTGATTTGCCTCGAGTTGGCTTCGATTCCTCGGTGGTTGACAATGTAGCCCAAGAATTTGCCAGAGCCGATCCTAAACGCACATTTGGAAGCGTTCAGTTTCATTCTATATTTGTGTAAAATGCCGAATGTCTCTTCCAGATCGGCTAAATGAGTTTTCTCTTCTTTGGACTTGACCACCATATCGTCAATGTACACTTCCATAGTGTGGCCAAGTTGCTCCTTGAACATGGCAGTGACTAGTCTTTTGTAAGTTGCCCTTGCATTCTTCAGCCCAAAAGACATAATCTTATACCAATAGGTTCCTCTTGGGGTAATGAATGCAGTTTTGTCTTGGTCCTCCGGATACATGACAATTTGATGATAGCCTCTGTAGGCATCGAGGAAGCTCATACGCTGATGATTTGCCGTAGCATCTACAAGTTGGTCTATTCTGAGGAAGGAAAAACAATCCTTGGGGCAAGCTTTGTTTAGGTTCGTGAAATCAACGCAGACACATCAGGTCCCATTTTTCTTCTTCACAACCACAATATTCGAGAGCCATGTAGGGTAGGTCACTTCCCTGATTGCTCTGGCTTCAAGCAACCGGTCAACCTTTTCAACAACGACAGTAGTGTGCTCTGCGGCTGACTGTCGGCTTTTCTGTATAATCGGCTTACATTTGGGATCAACATTTAAACGATGCTGAGAGACAGATGGATCTACCACCAGCATCTCATATGGTGACCATGCAAATACGTCAAGGTTGTCGAGTAAGAAGGTAATTAGCTGCTGTCTGTCGACTCCATTCAGGGAGGCACCGATCATGAAGAACCTGTCAGGATTCCTGGCGATTTCAACTCGATCTAGGGCTTCCATGGCCTTTTCACTTGGAAGCCGTCCAACATCATCGAGGCTCTCTCGATCCGGCACCTCAATAGAATTCACTTCCAATTCTTTTGGTGTCTTCACGACAAGGAGATAGCATGCTTGTGCTGATTTCTGGGAACATGGATTTGTTCAATGCCTCGTTCAGTCGGGAAGCGGAGCAATTGATGATAGGTGCTTGGCACGGCCTGCATGGTGTGCAGCTATGTTCGTCCTATGATGAGATTATACAACAAAGGCAGCTTGACAACTAAGAATTCCACATCCACTGTTCGCGAGCCAGCTTGAACTGGTAGTGTGATTTTGCCCAACGGGTATTCTGGATTAGCGTTGAAGCCAAACAATGGATAAGGAGCTAGAAAAAGATCCGATTCGGTGAAGCCGAGTTTGGTGAATGTCTTGTAATACATAACTTCCGATGTGCTCCCTGGATCAATGAGTACGCACTCAACGGTGAATCGGTTTACACGTATCTCAATTACCAAGGGATCGATGTAAGGAAGTGTCACTCCGGCCAAATCTGAATCATCAAAAGCAATGCTTGCAGCTTCATGGGGCCGTTTAGCCAGAGTGAGTTGATTTTGTGCGTCAGGATGCGACTGAATCGTATGCACCGCAGATGTCATTAACAGGCTGTATATCATGTGGATCACGCTGAGTGGAGGTGAATCCGATCGTAAGGCTATTGCTTTGGATGAGTTGCCTTTTCGAACATGCTGTTTTAGCCGACATCTTGTACCAACTCCTCCAGGTGATCCTTCAATGCATAACAACTCTCAGTATCATGACCGTGGTCCTTATGATACTCGCACCGCCTGTCCCGTCTTCTCGTGTCGGGAGGTCGCACCATTTTGGACGGCCATTTAAAGAACGTAAGGTGTTGGACTTTAGACATAACCGCGCTGATCGGCTCTAACAACTCCGTATATTTCTTGTTTGCACGCCTTGTGCGCCTGTTATCTACTTGAAATTGTTCATTAGCTCGGTGGGAGCATTGGTCGTTTGATCGGCGAGAATCCCGTCTCTTGTCTCGTTTAGCCCGATGCCGTGGTTCAGGGCTCTAAGGTGGTACATAATTTACCGGCTGAGCAATTTCAGAAGGGGCCGTCTTGTTGGCCATGTTTCCGACTTTAACCCGTAAGGCGTCATCTTCCACTTTGCAGTATTCTTCGACTTTCTTCATCAACGACCAAACTATTTTGGGGGGTCTTCTAGTCAAGGAACTACGGAGAGCATTATCAGGATGCAAACCCATTTTAAAGGCCGTAATGGCCATGGAGTCGTTGCAAGCATCATCGATAAGATTAAAGCATTCTCAATAGCGCGAATACGCTCGTAAGGTTTCTCCTAGCTAGATCTGCATTGCCCAGAGATAGTCGGCTTGCTTCAGTTGGACCTCGTTGGTGATGAATCTTGCCCTGAAGGATTTATGTAGTTGATGGAAACTCTTAATCGATGCCGGCTCCAACTTATAATACCATCTGATGGCCAATGGTCCCAAACTGCTCAGAAATATTCTGTACATGAGAGCCTCGTCGTCTGCATGCAACGTCATGGCTTGCTTATAATGACGGATATAATCAGTGGGGTCCGATTTCCCGTCGTATAGGGTGAACGACGGGGCTTTGAACTTCTTGGGTAGTACTGCCTTTGCGATCCGTCGCACAAAGGGATCGTGCTGGTCTTCTTCGTCCGAACCATTTCGTCTTCGCTTATGCCTTACACGTGGACTTTCTTCAGAGGAACTGGTAGTTTCGAGTCGTCCATTCTTTTTGGACTTTGGAGATAATGAGTCAGAGTCGCTGTCACTATATTGCCTCCGAACTTGAGGTCTTCGACCACCTGCTCTCAGAAGTCGTCTCGGATCTTGACGTGTAGCTTGATTGGATTTTGCTACTTCCAAGGCCAAGTCCTGACGGAGGCGCTCATTCTCAACGATCATGTTTTCCAGCCTCTGTTCGTTTTGCTTCACTTGTTCCATGATTGCTTGCATTGTCTCATGTGCTGAAGTCGAGGGCGAGTTATGGGCAAGTGAGTTAAAGTTCAAGGCACGTCTTGCGGCGATAGTCTCTGGTCCAAGCATGTTTGTTGGAGTGAGGTCGTCTCTCTGTGTGGTTTCGTCAGTGACTATCGGAGGGTCTTCCGTTACGTCTGCCATGGATGTCGTTGAGTATTCCCACAGACGGCGCCAATTGTGGGGATGTGGTTTGGAAATACTCTTTTGATCTACTGGGACGCTCGAGATCCTCAGTTAACAATCTGAAAGGGAATAAACACTCCAGTCGGGGGTGCCAAAATTAGCACTTCGACGGTTAAGTCAGTGTATGCTCTCTTAGTTACTTGTATCTTAAGTTAAGCGTAATAATTCTCACATACCTCTCTTTGGCTGATGTCCTCCTATTTATATCTTCTTCTTTTGGGCCTTATGTTTTTTGGGCCCACCTTTGGTCCATTGCACGCTTATTTATTTGGCCTTTGTTCTGTTGGTTAAAATGTCGATTATAATGTTCGACTTTGTGGTCGACCAACTAGATCAGAGCCGAATATATTCTCCTTCTTGAGCCGTCTTCATCCAGATACTCGGCCTTATTGAATGCCGATATTCGGCTCCCACAGTTTATGATGTCAAATCATAATAAAATGACCAAATTACTCCCATTTAGTTTAAAATATTTTCAACTTTACCCATGTAACACATTTTGACTCATGAGAGATAGAATTGTAATTTTACTATTGGCTAAAAACAAACTTCCCAAATGAAATTTTTTTCAAAAAAACCAACTTTTGACTTTTCTACAAACCCAAAAAAGTGACTAAAAGTCAACTTCTCAAAATAAGCCAAAATCTTATTATAAATTTGAGTTACAAAATTAAAATAAAATCATAAAACCTTATAACATAAACATGAGTTGAAAAATTGAAATAAATAAATAAATACTTGATATGATATATACTAGCGTTTAAAAAATGACAAATTATAGAAGCAAAGAGAATGAGGGATTGGAGAGCTAGAACATAGCACAATCTTGAGTGGATCATTTGGGTGGGTCAAAGATTCAAAGTTCTAAACCACGTATAGCCTATGTGTGGGAAGTGATTTTCGAGGTTTTGTTTTGTTTTGTTTTGTTTTATTTTATTTTATTTTTTTTGATTAAAATAGTCATAAAAAATAAAATAATTTTTTAATTTAATTAGATAAAACATTATATTCAATTCATAATCATTATATTCTTTGTCTCACAAAAATATTAAAAGTTCTTTTCAAGCTAAACTTTTTAATCTTAAAATAAAATAATAAAAAAAACAAAAAAATCAAAAAGCTCACCCGCTCTGCAAACGAAGCATAATGTAACTTGCTGCCTAACCCGTCAACACCCTCGCAGTAGAGTCAGTACAGTTTGAACGGTTCGGGTCTGTTGGCCCGTTTTTTTCCCTACTTGCAAGGATTAGGATTTAGGGTTTTACCCATGACATGCCAAACTTGGAGAACACTCTAGACTCTCCAAAACCCTCACTTCATCTCTCTCTCTCTCTCTCTGCAATTTCCTTGATAGATGGGTAGCAATCAAGCGGCAGTGTCTTTCCTAACCAACATAGCCCGGGCGGCGATCGGCCTCGGACTCAGCGGCGCCGTGCTCAACTCATCCCTCTACACCGTTGACGGCGGCCAACGCGCCGTCCTCTTCGATCGATTCCGCGGCGTCATCGACGAGACCGTTGGCGAAGGTACCCATTTCCTCATCCCATGGCTCCAAAAGCCCTTCATCTTCGACATCCGAACTCGCCCCCACACCTTCTCCTCCATCTCCGGCACCAAGGACCTCCAAATGGTTAACCTAACCCTCCGTGTCCTCTCTCGCCCCGAGGTCTCTCAACTCCCCCGAATCTTCCAAACCCTAGGCCTCGAATACGACGAGAAAGTCCTTCCTTCGATCGGCAACGAAGTCCTCAAGGCCGTCGTCGCTCAATTCAACGCCGATCAGCTCCTCACCGAGCGTCCCAGCGTCTCCGCATTGGTCCGCGAGAGCTTGGTTCGTCGTGCTAAGGATTTCAACATCCTTCTCGATGATGTTGCGATCACGCACTTGTCGTATGGGGCTGAGTTCTCCAAGGCCGTGGAGCAGAAGCAGGTGGCGCAGCAGGAGGCGGAGAGGTCTAAATTCGTGGTGGCCAAAGCGGAGCAAGAGAGGCGAGCGGCGATTATTAGGGCGGAAGGTGAGAGTGAGGCTGCGAAATTGATTTCGGATGCGACTGCCGCTGCTGGAATGGGTTTGATCGAGCTCAGGAAGATTGAGGCTTCGAGGGAGATAGCGGCGACTTTGGCGAAGACTCCGAATGTGGCCTACCTGCCTAATGCAAACAACATGTTGTTGGGGCTCAATCCTTCCATGGCTGGCCGCTGATTTGGTGATTTCAGTGACCTTACACTGTTTTCTGTTTCAATTAATGAATTCTTGAAATTGGGCTTTAGGAGCTTACTTAGATTGATTATAATTGTTTCTAATGAGCTTAATAAGAGTTGAGTTCAAATAGATTTGTTTTTGTTTGACTTCAATCTTCATAGAAGTGTCATTTAGTGAATTTGGTTTTTGACTTTGAGATTTATGCCGGTGATAATTAGGCATTGCTTTTCTTTATTATGAGACTATGGGGCATGCATGTTCTTCTTGTGATGATCTCTTAATACTAAAATAGATCTAATTTAATGAGTAAAAACAAATGCATGAAAGATTTATCATGCCTTACGCTTGGAGGTTGCTAAATCCATGGTTTTTTTTATGGGTTCACAACCCTCCCTCTTGTATGAATGGATCCAACTATGATGAGAGAGGGGTCTCTGTGGATCAGTTAAAGAAGAGTGTGGTTTAACAATTTTCTTTTTTCAATTTTGCCTATTTGTTGCAATTGAATTTTTGGGTCCTCTTATCATTTTCAGTATAGAAATAAGTGCATTATGGTCGCTCTAAGCATTATTATTAGTGATTTGTATATATCATGTCTTAAATTTTTGGTTGATGTTTGATATGTTTATATGGTAATATATTTTTATGTTCTTGATTCTTTCCAAATTAAAAACGCAATCCGCTCCGTTTTAAAATTATTTGGCAATATTTAGTAATCGAATCATTTGACAAGTTGTGCAAGGGGAAGCATTATTTTTTGATAAACAAATAAAATTTATATTTATCAATAAACAAATAAATAAACTTTATAGCAAGAGCATCAAGATTATGCAAAAAATACAAAACTCCAAAGGGAGCAAGGGGGAAGCATTATTTGATGGAGTTATTAGGTTAATTTGGACTTTATAAAATGTAAGGCTAATGAAAAGTCATTCATTACGGTTTGGTTTATGGTTGAATTATTCTTCATAAAAGTTGTTCATTATGAAGCTGGAATGTTTAAAATTGACGAACTGAAGATGCGGAAGGGGTTTGAGAATGAGTAATGAGAATCCTATGCATATCGTGGTTTGTAACATTTGTAGATAGAAGCTTGTCTACGATGTTTGAGACTACCAATTCTCTAGGCATATGTTACGTCCTCATAAAGTGATATTAGAAAACGATGGGGAAGATAATGGACATTGGTTGATTTGGTGTATTCTTACTTTTTCTAGGACTTCTTCTGTGAAAGCACTAGTCGAATATTGTCAATTTTTTTTTTTCTTCAATTTGTTAAATTCATTCATCTAAGGTCTGATGCAATCCATGAATAAATCTTCAGAAAGCATAGCTCTCAGAATTTGATATGCAGGCTGTACCATCCTTGCCTGAAATAAATTTCAGTTTATTTTTTATTCTTTGAAGAAGTATATTCTCATTAGAATTCTGCTGATGAATATGTTTGTAGATTGATTAATATGAGGTTTCTAGTGTAGTGGAATAATTTCTTTTAGGTGCAACCACTTTCAAGATTCCAAGGCCAAGTATATTGGTCTGCAGAGTGTAGTAGTTCAATTTTATTGTTCAGAGAAATATTGAAAAGATTGATGTCCTTGTTTAGATACGCGACTGGTTTTTGACAATGAGTTTGTGAATTTGACTTGAAGTCTTTGGTTGCTTTTCTCATACATCAGATGCGGCTCATTTCTGCATTGAGGTTAACCAATTTTCCATACCCCGATTGTTCTATTGCACTGGTTTGTTAAAAATAAAAATGACTATTTTATAAAATAATTGGTAATGAAGTAGAACTCTTCTTTTTCCTTTGCCCTTTGTGTTTTAGTTTTGTCTGTTTTAGGTTATACTGTTGCTAGTCCTTGTCATTTTATATCTGTGCGGTCTTTGTGTCTAGATTTCTAAGCTTGTCATTTTCTTCCCCAATTGACTCATCATATCTTAGCTTTGTGCAAGCATTGGTTGCTTTTCTCATATATCAGATGCGGCTCATTTCTGCATTGAGGTTAACCAATTCTCCATACCCCGATTGTTCTATTGCACTGGTTTGTTAAAAATAAAAATTACTATTTTATAAAATAATTGGTAATGAAGTAGAACTCTTCTTTTTCCTTTCTCCTTTGTGATTTAGTTTTGTTTGTTTTAGGTTATCCTGTTGGTAGTCCTTGTCATTTTATATCTGTGCGGTCTTTGTGTCTGAATTTATAAGCTTGTCATTTTCTTCCCCAATTGACTCATCATATCTTGGCTTTGTGGAAGCATGATAAGACATGTCAGGGTCAGACTTTTCTAATGTTGCCACACTGGATTTCTTTGAGGTCTTCAAGATGTTCCCCCCAGAATTTTCGTCAATGTTCTGCTTACGCTATATATATATATATATATTTCGGGTCAGAATGCATTATACACGGCTGTCCCGTAAATCAATCGTGTACGGACAGCCAATTAGGTAATGACACCTCACTCTTTCATTTTGTCTCTCGTCTCTTCCTTCCTCCCAATCCAAGTGATCACCACAACTGCCCCCACCCAAACCAGTCATCAGAGAGTACCCAAACACCATCTTGGCCCTAACAAACTTCTTCAGAGCATAGAAGCCATTCATTACCAATTTGTCGATTTCTCACCGGAATTTTCTCTGGCGTAGATCGGGTGCTCATATTAACTTGGCCTATGTATGGAGAGAGGAAGGATGGTGCAGTGGTTGCTGGTGGGGGCTGATGGGAGGGAACAGAGGTCAGTGGGTGGAAGGTGGTGGTTTCCGGCGGTGGGTGGTTATCGGTCGCTGGATAAGGAAGGATCCCACAGATTGAAAGGCAAAATGAAAAAGAGGCACAAATCAAGGAAGGAGATGGAGATGATCCAGTGCATGTGTGTGTGTTTTGATAAAGCATAAATTTTTCTGATGTGTCATTTGTGGATTGGGTGACCCTGAACAATGTTATTTACGGATTAAACTCATTTCGGGTGCGATGCTTATGCTGTAACCTTGGTCACGAGTGTTTGAATTTCTGCTCTGGTGTATTACTGTGGGGTCTAATTGCTTTGCTTTCAAAGATTGTGACTCTCTCTCTTTTGTTCTTTGCTCGCAGGGCTTTTTGTTGTTGATTCAGCTTTGGATTAGAGCTGATGGCTCACATATTACTGTTGTCTGGCATTCAATTGCCTTTTACTAGTAGTTGTTTGCTCTTTCACATTAGATCTTTGCACATTTGCCGGAATTACAAGTTCTTGGGTGAGGCTTCCCTTTCGGCCATATTGAAATGAATTACTTCTCTTAGAATGTTGGCATGTTTGGTACAGCGTATGGAATTGTTTATTTTTTCTTCCTTCTATTTTATTGGTCTTGCTAATAAGTACTCTCGATGCACAAGAAAAATAGGAAAAAATAAAAAACACATTTTCGATTGAAATCAATGCAACTTTTTAACTAGTTTGTCTATTTTCAAGACTCTTTTTTAATGTTAATCCTAATATTAAACAATGCCATAGGATACTTGTCAACATTTGTCTTATTTTATTTTTTTCAATGTTTTTGGTACAGTTTTTATTTACAATTAATGAGCTTAAAATAGTTTGGGTAAATTATAAATACTCTTAAAATTTGTTTAAAATATGAATCCTCACTTGTGCTTTTGAAAATTAGATCTCGCATCTTGAAGTTTCTAATTTAATAACAAATAATTTTTTTATTAATAAATTATCAAATCAATTAATAACTCTGTTAATGATATTAGAAATATATTTTAATAAATAATTTTATTATTGTATAAGAAAATAATTAAAAATTTTACAATCTCAAGAAGTACATTGATAATTTATCCAAATAATTTATATAAGCAGATGAAAGATAATTATTAGAAAGCATCACATATGCAGCAATGTTACAGACCCCCCCCCAGTGCCACGTGTCGGCCTGGGGTTGGCTAAAAACCAAAAAAAAAAAAAAAAAAACTGTTTTTTGGACCAATGGAAAAGGTGGGAGTCCGAAGCTTTATTCATATGCATATATTTTTAATTATTGCTTATTCTGGTAAAGAGTTTCACCGGTTGTTTATCATGTTGTTAATAGAAATTTTGTACAAACAAATATATATTTTTCAATAAATTGATGTGATATACAATAGTAAAGCATTGAAATTTTAAATTAGATTTGATGAAACTAAATAAAAGGTACTCAGATCAGTTTGTAAACTTGTAATGTCTGAAAATTTTAATGTATTAGTCTGTTTCAATTATTAGCAACTGTATTGTCATTTGAATAAAAAAAAAAAAAAAAAAAATTGTATTATCACACACTTTTTTTTCGTCTCATTCATATAGGGATGGCAATCTGAAACCTGCCTGACGGTGACCAGACCCCTCGACCCTGAATTCAGCGGTTATTCATCGAAAAGTATTCCCTACAGGCCGGGGACGGTATTCAAAAATTCATCCCTAATGGTATTCGCGCCAGGGACGGGGATATGTGTTTTGATACGGTATTCAAAAATTCATCCCCGAATTCAGGGGATATGTGTGTTTTGATGAAGCATAAATTTTTCTGATGTGTCATTTGTGGATTGGGTGACCCTGAACAATGTTATTTACGGATTAAACTCATTTCGGGTGCGATGCTTATGCTGTAACCTTGGTCACGAGTGTTTGAATTTCTGCTCTGGTGTATTGCTGTGGGGTCTAATTGCTTTGCTTTCAAAGATTGTGACTCTCTCTTTTTTGTTCTTTGCTCGCAGGGCTTTTTGTTGTTGATTCAGCTTTGGATTAGAGCTGATGGCTCACATATTACTGTTGTCTGGCATTCAATTGCCTTTTACTAGTAGTTGTTTGCTCCTTCACATTAGATCTTTGCACATTTGCCGGAATTACAAGTTCTTGGGTGAGGCTTCCCTTTTGGCCATATTGAAATGAATTACTTCTCTTAGAATGTTGGCATGTTTGGTACAGCGTATGGAATTGTTTATTTCTTCTTCCTTCTATTTTATTGGTCTTGCTAATAAGTACACTCGATGCACAAGAAAAATAGGAAAAAATAAAAAATACATTTTTGATTGAAATCAATGCAACTTTTTAACTAGTTTGTCTATTTTCAAGACTCTTTTTTAATGTTAATCCTAATATTAAATAATGTCATAGGATGCTTGTCAACATTTGTCTTATTTTATTTTTTTCAATGTTTTTGGTATAGTTTTATAGCGATCCCGATTTCCCTTTTCTTTAATTGTTGTATTCGGACTTAGGTTCTGTGGAGTTGGTTGTTGTGTATATCTTGTTTACATCTTTTACTCTTCGTATTTGAGTCTTGGGTTGTGTTGGGAAGGTTCGTAACAGGTTGGTTGAGCCTAGGAACCAAAGGTAGCTGCCCAGTTTTTGGCCTGTCCGCTCGAGCGGGGATTTTGACGCTCGAGCTGGGACCCTTTTGTTGCTTGTCCGCTCGAGCGGGGGTTTTGGCGCTCGAGCGGAAAAACACCCATCCAGTATCTCCTCTGTAGTGTTGTACGCTCGAGCGGCGGTTTGGACGCTCGAGCGGGAGTTTGTGTGTGACGCTCCGCTCGAGCGGGGAGTTTGTGTGTGACGCTCGATCGGGGACCTGGTTCTGCAAAAGTACTGGGAGTGCGTATCCGCTGCTCGAGCGGGAGTTTGGACGCTCGAGCGGGAGTCTGTGAGTGACGCTCGAGCGGGGGTTTCCACACTCGAGCGGGGCAACTTGTATATCACACCAGGTTTCACCTTTTTGGATCACTTTTTGATTTCCTTTCTCTCTCTTATTTTTCCGAAAAAGCCATTGAAGAGCACCTCACTCTAAAACCTAACTTCTCTCTTAGGATTGATCTAGCTAGAGTGATTTCCTCACCTTGGGCCTTTGTAAAAGTTGTGTGGATCATCGAAGGCTATTTTTTAATCTGAAAATCTCGGGATTTGGAGCATCTTCATTTTCGTCACCTTCTTCCCTTGGGCTCCGAATTTAAGGTAGGGATTCCTACTCACTCTTATGGTCTTTGACATAGATTTTTGGTTGTTTTGATAAAGTGTTGAAGTTGGGTAAATTTTGGGACTTAGGGCTTCAAAATGTTAAAAGAGGATTTTGTTATTTTGATTCTAAAATGTGTATTTGGGTTTCAAAATGATAATATTGTTGTTGGTTGGTGATATATGGACCATTGGGTTAATGTTGGAAAAATGGGTAGAAAACCCTAATTTGTTGTATAAATTAATTGGCATAATTAATTTGGAAAGGTTATGAATTTATGGAATTGGGTAGGAAATAATGAAATTGACTCATTATATTGTGAAATGGTGGAGTTAGACTTATAAATCGCTCACTTTTGAAACATTGATATTTTATCTGTTGGAGCTTTTATTATCTGTTTAGAAATAATTGCTTGGACTACCGGTGGAGGGTAGTTTTGATTGTTGTAGAGAATGCACGATGATTAGGCAAACTAAAACTAATCAATTAGATGTGTCATAAACTATGACGGTTGATAGAATACATTAACGTTATGTATTGAGTGATTGCGTATATGACCTATGTGTATATATGTTGTGTTGTGTGGGAGGAGATAGGGGATATACTCCACGGTTTAGGAGAAGATAGGGGATGGACCTCTAAACCGAATGTTGCTTGGGAGGAGATAGGGGATGGACTCCACTGATACAGCTCATATGCTTGTCATGTTGGAGCTTTTATTATCTGTTTAGAAATAATTGCTTGGACTACCGGTGGAGGGTAGTTTTGATTGTTGTAGACAATGCATGATGATTAGGCAAACTAAAACTAATCAATTGGATGTGTCATCAACTATGACGGTTGATAGAATACATTAACGTTATGTATTGAGTGATTGCGTATATGACCTATGTGTATATATGTTGTGTTGTGTGAGAGGAGATAGGGGATGTACTCCACGGTTTAGGAGAAGATAGGGGATGGACCTCTAAACCGGATGTTGCTTGGGAGGAGATAGGGGATGGACTCCACTGATACAGCTTATATGCTTGTCAGTTAATGTGTTGATACAGCTCATACGCTTATCTATGAAAGTGTTGATATAGCTCATACGCTTATCTGTTGAAGTGTGGATACAGCTTGTATGCTTCTCTGTTGAGATGTTGATATAGCTAGTATGCTTATCTAATGTAAAATGGGAAATGTTTAATATGAGTTGCTATCTCATATAAGTTGTTGGCCAGGTTCTGAGCCGTTGTTGTATATTGTGAACATGATAAGAAATGGATAATGAAAGTAAACAAGGACATAGTGGTCATGTAATGGAAATGGATTATGAATTGATTTATGAGAATTAAACACTTATCAATTGCTAATGTCTTAGTTATTGCTCATACTGTGTTTAGCATATCTCTACTGGGCGTTGACTCACCCTATATGGGACATTATTTTCAGGTACATGTAGCATGCCACCTCCAAGGACATAGCTTGGATGTTGATGAGAGTTGAAGACTCTTTTTGATTATTTTGTCTGTATTACATGTATATCAAGCCAATGGCTTATTTTGTATAGAGTTAGCACTCTTCTTTTGTGCAACCAAGTGTTGACTTGGAAAGCTGTAAGCCCATAGGGCATTTGCTTTTGTTGTTAACATGTAATACATTTTGTAAGGATTACTCTGATGGAATACAATTATGTTTTATCTCCTTATGTCTAAGCATGCTATTGTTGGTTAATTTATGGGTTTATTTTGAGGGCGTTACAGTTTTTATTTACAATTAATGAGCTTAAAATAGTTTGGGTAAATTATAAATACTCTTAAAATTTGTTTAAAATATGAATCCTCACTTGTGCTTTTGAAAATTAGATCTTGCATCTTGAAGTTTCTAATTTAATAACAAATAATTTTTTTATTAATAAATTATAAAATCAATTAATAACTCTGTTAATGATATTAGAAATATATTTTAATAAATAATTTTATTATTGTATAAGAAAATAATTAAAAATTTTACAAAATTATATCAATCAATAAAAGAGCATAAAACAGTGGTTTAACCGATTGTATATTGAGATCTAATAGTTCAAAACTAAAAAAAAAAAAAAACTATTTTTTAGACCAATGGAAAAGGACCCCCAGCACCCCACCGGAGGTCCGAAACTTTATTCATATGCATATGTTTTTAATTATTGCTTATTCTGGTAAAAAGTTTCACCGGTTGTTTGTCATGTTGTTAATAGAAATTTTGTACAAACAAATATATATTTTTTAATAAATTGATGTGATATACAATAGTAAAGGATTGAAATTTTAAATGAGATTTGATGAAACTAAATAATAGGTACTCAGATCAGTTTGTAAACTTATAATGTCTGAAAATTTTAATGTATTAGTCTGTTTCAATTATTAGCAACTGTATTGTCATTTGAATAAAAAAAAAAAAATTGTATTATCACACACTTTTTTTTCGTCTCATTCATATAGAGATGACAATTTGAAACCGGTCCGACGGTGACCCGATCCTTTGATTCCGAATTCAGCGGTTATTCATCGAAAAATATCCCCTACGGACGAGAGACGGTATTCAAAAATTCATCCTCGATGATATCCGGACCGGGGACGGAAATATGTGTTTCAGAACCGGCCCGGCCCCTGCCCCGCATGGTCCCCAAGGTAAAATGACCCTTTTGTCCCTGGATATGCATATGCTTGTCTTTGTTAGGGTTTCACAGAAACACACACTCTCAAAGCCTCTCACACTCACGCTGCTCCTCTCACTCTCTCGCCACTGGTCTGTCCCTCTCTCTTCCCTCCATCACCGCCGCGCCTCCCTCCGTCACCGGCGATCCTCCCTCCGTCACCACCGCGCCTCCCATCTCTGTTTAGGTGTCTCTCTCTCTCTCTCTGTCAGCTGGATTTGTTTTTTTTTTGAATCTATTTTATAGATCTGTTTTTTTTGAATCTATTTTATAGATCTGTCCCTGGATATATATAGATCTATTTTTTTTTTTGAATCTATTTTATATTGAACCTTCTTCAGCTGGATTAGGAGTCTTTGAATCTGTTTTTTTTGTCTTTGAATCTATTTTATATTTTTTACAATATAGATCTGGTTTCCCAGATTTCGATCTATTTTATATTGATAATCAGTTGGATTAGGAGTCTCTCTAATCTTATAGATGCTTTGAATTTTGGTCTTGATCATGATATGGAACAAAGATTGGTTAGCTAATCTGTAGATTTACATTTACGGTTCTTTTTCTTCCTTGGTCCAACAAAGGCACCGTGTTATGGAGATCTACGTGAGGTCTGCTTCTATACAATATGACTAGGGGGTTTCATCATGATTTGTTTCTCCAGTGGGTTCATCATGATTTGTTTCTCCAGTGGGTTCTGTTAGGTGTGTGAAATTTCAACAGACAGAATAGAGAGAGAGAGAGAGAGAGAGAGAGAGAGTAGTGTGAGCTTGTTTGTGATTATTCCTTCTTCCTCCTTTGTTTCTGGTAATTCTTCTATTTGTAATTCTAGTATATACACAAGTCTGATGCTCTGTTTGATTTTTTGATTTTTTTTTTATTTTAAGGAGTATTTTGGGTTTGTCTCCCTCTGTCTCATGGAATTCTTTTTGGTTTTTGTTGCAATTCTCTTCTCCTTCTCCTTTTGCTTTTTCATTTTGGTCTACTTTTTCATCATTCCTTGTTTGCTTTATCTGTAGCCCAACATTCTCATAAATTTGGGCAAAAGTAACCATTGTCTCTCGCAGGATCCAAGAAAGCCATTCCCATTTTTCTATTCAATATATTGTTTTGCATATGGTCTCTACAGTAGTTCAGTTTTTTTGTTTATTTATTTATTTATTTATTTTTTGAGACATTGCTTATGATTAAATTTGAACCAGAATTGCCATCAAGCAGAGGAGAGGACCTGCAGTCTAAGTGCTTGCTTGAACTCTACGGACTGGAGGTATTTTGATTCTATTGCTTCCTTGCACGTGGAGCTTATTCATGTTAATCTTAGTCTCCATAGATTGTTATGAAGAATGGTAAAGTTTCTACAAATTGGCTATGTTTCAGTAAAGTAAAACTAGTTTTACACTATGTTTGGCAAGCTAGAATAGAAAAGAACAGAAATAATTTGTCAAGTTAAGAGAGAGAAGAAAATAAGAGAAAAGATTGTGTTTTTTTTTAAACTACATAAAAAAAATTAAAAAAAAAGGCCCTCTTACAGCAAATATTACTAAATAATCTTTGATGTTTTTATGCATCACCACACTTCTTAGAAAACAAGGAACGATTATTGAGTACCAAGTGCTCTACTTTTGTAGGTCACAAAATGTTTATTGTTAGGAAACAAGAAAGGCTTATTGAATATCAAGTGCTCTAGTTTTGTAGATCACAAATTATGTATTCTCTTTCAAGGGCATAGAACATTCATTTATTTTTCTTAATTTCTTATTCTGGTTTCTTTGCCTCTTTAATTTATATTGTAGTGTTTTATTATCTTCATGAGAGATTAGTTGTTAATTCTATGCTTCCATGATTGCAATTTCCTTTACTTAGTTGGATTAGTGTCTTCAATGGTTAGTTTTCATCCAAGCTTCATTATTTCAAATTGATATTATATATTACAGTGTGGTAATTTCTTCCCTTGTTCTTTGTGAGACCTCAAACAGCAGGTCTATTTGATGTAATACAGGCTTCTATTTGATGTAATATAGGCTTCTAATGGTTAGTTTTAATGTTGTGTGCTTTCTTCCTATTTTGGGGTTCACTTCATCTCTAGATGCTAAATTTATCAATTGAATTAATGTTTTTGTCTTTTGAAATCTTCTACAATTATGTTTCAATCATGTCATAATTTGTTTAAAAGATGATGAGTACTTAATTTATTTATATTAATAACAAAGTTGAACAAAAGAATTTGAGAACGAGTTTTTCTTCCATAAAGTTATTGATATAGAGAAGCAACACTAAGCAGAGTATAAAGAAATTAAAACATTGAGATATGAAGAGAAACACCCAGTTCCTCGATCTCAACAGGACTGGCTCACGAGCACATTTCCAATATCAAAGAGCATTTTTCACAATTACATCAAGGATACAGATGGTTTCACAGCCAAATCGCTTTCTATAGTTGTCATAGCTTCCCATGAGCAGCTATACAACGGGAAGGTTGCAATTTCTGCTTAAGCAAGCAAATAGCTCCAAAAATAAAATGCCCAACTATGATTTTCTGTTCAGATTTAATTTTACATTTTTGGGCAATGTTTGAGAATTCATTTACTACTTATCAAAAGAGAGAGAATTCATTTGCAAGTGCGCTAAGAAAGCTTTCAACATATCCTCTACTAACATTCTTTATTGTTCAACCAAATAGGCCTAGCCTAGTTGGCCGCTCTGACTTTTTCCTAAAGCTATGTTTGGTTGGGGGGATTTGAGGAGAGATTTGAAAAAGGAAAAGTAAAAGTAAAAGTTAGAGTAAGGTGAAATGTGAATAAAATATACTTACATTTCGCCTAGTTTCAAACACCTTTTCCCTTTTCCTTTCCCTTTCCCTTTCCAAATCCCTCTCCAAATCTCCTAACCAAACATACCATAAGGGCTTAGTCTCTAGAAGGAGATCTTAGTTTCAACTCTCCTTAAGAGGCAGGCACTCGGTGCTTTGCACAGAGTGGGGAGGCTAACTCCATAGCTGCTAATCTACCAACTAACAATTGATATTCGCCGATAAAAAAATACATTCTCTATTGTTCTACAATGGTGTGTGTAGTGTGAGTGAGAAACATCGCATTTACAGAATCTCAAGAACAATCAACAGAAAGATTATGCTAGTGTATATAGTAGAAGCATTTTATCAAACAAGTATTGAACATTAAAAATTTGCAAAACCCATTACCAGATTTTCAAAACTTCAAAACCTTATCAGTTTAGAAGTGCAAAAGGAGGGCAACACAATTTAAAATCCCATTAAATGAAAACGCAAAATAAAACTCACCTCTTTCGTCAGAAACAACCAATAATTTATTCCTTTTCTGAATTCTTCTTTTATATCAACCACCTAAACTTCCCACTTCACTGAATCGACCTCGCACAGGAAGAAAAATCCCAAGATTTACCCTCAATCCAAAGAATCGAAGACGAAGACGAAGACGAGCAGAGAAACAGAACACGTGAAGAGCCCTAGACAAACGCTTGGAAAACAGAGCGGGCCTAACCCTTATCTTATCTCTCGTTTTGGGCTTTTTAGTGAAGCTCTTTTTTTGGGTCCATTATATTTCAGTTTTTTTTAAAAAAAAATTAAAGCTATCAAAAAGGAGAATGTAATAGATCTTAAATTTTCTATTAAATAAATGATCAACTATCTGGGTGCGAGATCTACAAAATTACAGATCCCATAGTTATATAAGAGATTTGGTCTTTTATTTAGTAGAAAATTTAATATCCCTAACAAAAAATACACCAACAAACACACACACTTATCTACCAATAACACACAGCCCCTTGTTTGTGCAAAGAATAATGTTATAAGTATCAATTAATATATTAATTAATATATTAATTGATACTTATAACATTATTCTTTGCACAAACAAGGGGCTGTGTGTTATTGGTAGATAAGTGTGTGTGTTTGTTGGTGTATTTTTTGTTAGGGATATTAAATTTTCTACTAAATAAAAGACCAAATCTCTTATATAACTATGGGATCTGTAATTTTGTAGATCTCGCACCCAGATAGTTGATCATTTATTTAATAAAAAATTTAAGATCTATTACATTCTCCTTTTTGATAGCTTTAATTTTTTTTTAAAAAAAACTGAAATATAATGGACCCAAAAAAAGAGCTTCACTAAAAAGCCCAAAACGAGAGGAGATAGGATTTCACCCATTGACACCACATAGACTTAGTCCCACCAGAGAAAAGGAACCAGACATGTTTGGCTATGGCAGCCTTATTCCAAACCTCAAGAGATTTGAAGCCAAGGTCCCCCTCTTTTTTAGGGGTGCAAACTTTATCCCAAGCAATTTTAGCACAGTGCTTCCTAAGGTCAGTACCAGACCAAAGAAAGGCTCTTAGGAGACTCTCAATCTCCTTAATAACCTTCTTAGGCAAGATAAACAACGAAGATCAGTAGACTTGCATGGAAAACAAGATGGTAAAAAAATAAAAAGTACACTTATTTAAGACACCCCAAACAACCCCTAGTATAATGTGTGACAATACATATCTCATGATGTATGACTAGGGATAGCAATCCGAAACCGGCCCGACGGTGACCCGACCCCCCGACCCTGAATTCAGCGGTTATTTACCGAAAAATATCCCCTACGGGCCGGGGACGGTATTCAAAAATCCATCCCCGATGATATCTAGACCGGGGACGGGGATATGTGTTTCAGAACCGGCCCCGCCTCGCATGGTCCCCAAGGTAAAATGACCCTTTTGTCCCTATATATGCATATGCTTGTCTTTGTTAGGGTTTCACAGACACACACACTCAAAGCCTCTCACACTCACGCCGCTCCTCTCTCTCGCCACTGGTCTGCCTCTCTCTCTTCCCTCCGTCACCGTCGCGCCTCCCTCCGTCATTGGCGATCCTCCCTTCGTCACCGACGATCCTCCCTCCGTCACCACTGCGCCTCCCATCTTTGTTTAGGTCTCTCTCTCTCTCTCTCTCAGCTGGATTTGTTTTTTTTTTGAATCTATTTTATAGATCTGTTTTTTTTTGAATCTATTTTATAGATCTGTCCCTGGATATATATAGATCTGTTTTTTTTTTGAATCTATTTTATATTGAACCTTCTTTAGCTGGATTAGGAGTCTTTGAATCTGTTTTTTTTTGTCTTTGAATCTAGTTTATATTTTTTACAATATAGATCTGGTTTCCCAGATTTCGATCTATTTTATATTGATAATCAGTTGGATTAGGAGTCTCTCTAATCTTCTGGATGCTTTGAATTTTGATCTTGATCATGAAATGGAACAAAGATTGGCTAGCTAATCTGTAGATTTACATTTATGGTTCTTTTTCTTCCTTGGTCCAACGAAGGCACCGTGTTATGGAGATTTACGTGAGGTCTGCTTCTATACAATATGACTAGGGGGTTTCATCATGATTTGTTTCTCCAGTGACCATGATTTGTTTCTCCAGTGGGTTCTGTTAGGTGTGTGAAATTTCAACAGACAGAATAGAGAGAGAGAGAGTAGTGTGAGCTTGTTTGTGATTATTCCTTCTTCCTCCTTTGTGTCTGGTAATTCTTCTATTTGTAATTCTAGTATATACACAAGTCTGATGCTCTGTTTGATTTTTTATTTTATTTTAAGGAGTATTTTGGGTTTGTCTCCCTCTGTCTCGTAGAATTCTTTTTGGTTTTTGTTGCAATTCTCTTTTCCTTCTCCTTTTTCTTTTTCATTTTGGTCTACTTTTTCATCATTCCTTGTTTGCTTTATCTGTAGCCCAACATTCTCATAAATTTGGGCAAAAGTAACCATTGTCTCTCGCAGGATCCAAGAAAGCCATTCCCATTTTTCTATTCAATATATTGTTTTGCATATGGTCTCTACAGTAGTTCAGTTTTTTTGTTTATTTATTTATTTATTTATTTTTTTTTTGAGACATTGCTTATGATTAAATTTGAACCAGAATTGCCATCAAGCAGAGGAGAGGACCTGTAGTCAAAGTGCTTGCTTGAACTCTACGGACTGGAGGTATTTTGATTCTATTGCTTCCTTGCATGTGGAGCTTATTCATGTTAATCTTAGTCTCCATAGATTGTTATGAAGAATGGGAAAGTTTCTACAAATTGGCTATGTTTCAGTAAAGTAAAGCTAGTTTTACACTATGTTTGGCAAGCTAGAATAGAAAAGAAAAGAAAAGAAATAATTTGTCAAGTTAAGAGAGAGAAGAAAATAAGAGAAAAGATTGTGTTTTTTTTTTGAACTACATAAAAAAAATTTTAAAAAAAGGCCCTCTTACTGCCAATATTACTAAATAAACTTTGATGTTTTTATGCATCACAACACTTCTTAGAAAACAAGGAACGATTATTGAGTACCAAGTGCTCTACTTTGTAGGTCACAAAATGTTTATTGTTAGGAAACAAGAAAGGCTTATTGAATATCAAGTGCTCTAGTTTTGTGGATCACAAATTATGTATTTCTCTTTCAAGGGCATAGAACATTCATTTATTTTTCTTAATTTCTTAATCTGGTTTCTTTGCCTCTTTAATTTATATTGTAGTGTTTTATTATCTTCACGAGAGATTAGTTGTTAATTCTATGCTTCCATGATTGCAATTTCCTTTACTTAGTTGGATTAGTGTCTTCAATGGTTAGTTTTCATCCAAGTTTCATTATTTCAAATTGATATTATATATTACAGTGTGGTAATTTCTTCCCTTGTTCTTTGTGAGACCTCAAACAACAAGTCTATTTGATGTAATACAGGCTTCTATTTGATGTAATATAGGCTTCTAATGGTTAGTTTTAATGTTGTGTGCTTTCTTCATATTTTGGGGTTCACTTCATCTCTAGATGCTAAATTTATCAATTGAATTAATGTTTTTGTCTTTTGAAATCTTCTACAATTATGTTTCAATCATGTCATAATTTGTTTAAAAGATGATGAGTACTTAATTTATTTATATTAATTCAATCCATATTATTTTTGTAAAGGTTAAAAATGTCAGATGTTAACTCTGAAGCACCAGGAGTTCAAGTTGAAGGAGATGATGGAAGTTGTGTGGTTTGTATGGGTTTGAAGAAACAATGGATTTGCAGTCGAAATTTTTGACTTTTGGTGAATAGTGATAACTTTTTAACTTTTTGAGTAACTTTTTGACTTTTTGTCAACTTGCCAAACTTGGCCTAAATAACCTTTCTTACAAGTCTTTGTTTTGGGGAGAGCTAAAAAAAAGTTAAAAGTCAACTTTTAATTTATTTTGTGTCATATTATTTTTCATATTTTTTTACATATTTCTTCAAAAAGAAAGTCAAAAAAATTTAAAAAATCAACTTTTAATCATCTTCTCAAAAAAGACTTTATTTAGACCAAGTTTGGCAAGTTGAAAAAAAACCAAAAGGTCAAAAAGTTACTTAAAAAGTTAAAAAGTTATCATTATTCACCAAAAGTAAAAAATTACTGCTGCACAACTCTCAATTCTTAATTTTTCCATACACACTAATTTATACAATTTTTTAATACACATTTTTTTATAAAAAGTAAAAAAGTTAACCCAACAACCATGTTTTTTTCCTCAACTTTTTAATTCAAAAAGTCAAAATGTGTACTTATTTAGGACATCCCAAACAACCCTTAAATTTTAGTATTATGAAAAACATAATAATAATAATAATAATAATAATAATAATAATAATAAAAGAGGAACTTTTTTGGGTTCTTCAAACATCTATTTGTACAACGGTGGTACTGCATGTACCAATTAATGCACACACTAGTATACAACTAGTATTATGGACTCTACTTATTATACGAATTATAAATAATCCAAAACTTCTAAAATTATGCCACATCATTTATTAATATATTAATTAATATGTTAATTGATACTTATTACATTATTCTTTGTACAAACAAGGGTCTGTGTGTTATTGGTAGATAAGTGTGTGTTTGTTGGTGTATTTTTTGTTAGGAATATTAAATTTTCTACTAAATAAAAGACCAAATCTCTTATATAACTATGGGATCCGTAATTTTGTAGATCTCGCACCCAGATAGTTGATCATTTATTTAATAGAAAATTTAAGATCTATTACATTCTCCTTTTTGATAGCTTTAATTTTTTTTTAAAAAAAAACTGAAATATAATGGACCCAAAAAAAGAGCTTCACTAAAAAGCCCAAAACGAGAGATAAGATAAGGGTTAGGCCCGCTCTGTTTTCCAAGCGTCTGTCTAGGGTGCTTCACGTGTTCTGTTTCTTTGCTCGTCTTCGTCTTCGATCCTTTGGATTGAGGGCAAATCTTGAGATTTTTCTTCCTGTGCGAGGTCGATTCAGTGAAGTGGGAAGTTTAGGTGGTTGATATAAAAGAAGAATTCAGAAGAGGAATAAATTATTGGTTGTTTCTGATGAAAGAGGTGAGTTTTATTTTGCGTTTTCTTTTAATGGGTTTTTAAATTGTGTTGCCCTCTTTTTGTGCTTCTAAACTGATAAGGTTTTGAAAATCTGGTAATGGGTTTTGCAAATTTTTAATGTTCAATACGTGTTTGATAAAATGCTTCTACTATATACACTAGCATTATCTTTCTGTTGATTGTTCTTGAGATTCTGTAAATGCAATGTTTCTCACTCACACTACACACACCATTGTAGAACAATAGAGAATGTATTTTTTTATCGGCGAATATCAATTGTTAGTTGGTAGATTAGCAGCTATGGAGTTAGCCTCCCCACTCTGTGCTAAGCACTGAGTGCCTGCCTCTTAAGGAGAGTTGAAACTAAGATCTCCTTCTAGAGACTAAGCCCTTATGGTATGTTTGGTTGGGAGATTTGGAGAGGGATTTGGAAAGGGAAAGGAAAAGGGAAAATGTGTGTGAAACTAGGTGAAATGTAAGTATATTTTATTCACATTTCACCTGACTCTAACTTTTACTTTTACTTTTCCTTTTCCTTTTCCTTTTCTTTTTCCTTTTCCTTTTTCAAATCCCTTCTCAAATCCCCCAACCAAACATAGCTTTAGGAAAAAGTCAGAGTGGCCAACTAGGTTAGGCCTATTTGGTTGAACAATAAAGAATGTTAGTAAAGGATATGTTGAAAGCTTTCTTAGCGCACTTGCAAATGAATTCTCTCTCTTTTGATAAGTAGTAAATGAATTCTCAAACATTGCCCAAAAATGTAAAATTAAATCTGAACAGAAAATCATAGTTGGGCATTTTATTTTTGGAGCTATTTGCTTGCTTAAGCAGAAATTGCAACCTTCCCGTTGTATAGCTGCTCATGGGAAGCTATGACAACTATAGAAAGCGATTTGGCTGTGAAACCATCTGTATCCTTGATGTAATTGTGAAAAATGCTCTTTGATATTGGAAATGTGCTCGTGAGCCAGTCCTGTTGAGATCGAGGAACTGGGTGTTTCTCTTCATATCTCAATGTTTTAATTTCTTTATACTCTGCTTAGTGTTGCTTCTCTATATCAATAACTTTATGGAAGAAAGAGATTGAGATGATGCTTTGCATATATATGTATATGTATATATGTGGGTTGATATAAAAGAAGAATTCAGAAAAGGAATAAATTATTGGTTGTTTCTGACGAAAGAGGTGAGTTTTATTTTGCGTTTTCATTTAATGGGTTTTTAAATTGTGTTGCCCTCTTTTTGCACTTCTAAACTGATAAGGTTTTGAAGTTTTGAAAATCTGGTAATGGGTTTTGCAAATTTTTAATGTTCAATACGTGTTTGATAAAATGCTTCTACTATATACACTAGCATAATCTTTCTGTTGATTGTTCTTGAGATTCTGTAAATGCAATGTTTCTCACTCACACTACACACACCATTGTAGAACAATAGAGAATGTATTTTTTTATCGGCGAATATCAGTTGTTAGTTGGTAGATTAGCAGCTATGGAGTTAGCCTCCCCACTCTGTGCTAAGCACTGAGTGCCTGCCTCTTAAGGAGAGTTGAAACTAAGATCTCCTTCTAGAGACTAAGCCCTTATGGTATGTTTGGTTGAGAAATTTGGAGAGGGATTTGGAAAGGGAAAGGGAAAGGGAAAAGGTGTGTGAAACTAGGTGAAATGTAAGTATATTTTATTCACATTTCACCTGACTCTAACTTTTACTTTTACTTTTACTTTTCCTTTTCCTTTTTCAAATCCCTTCTCAAATCCCCCAACCAAACATAGCTTTAGGAAAAAGTCAGAGTGGCCAACTAGGCTAGGCCTATTTGGTTGAACAATAAAGAAGGTTAGTAAAGGATATGTTGAAAGCTTTCTTAGCGCACTTGCAAATGAATTCTCTCTCTTTTGATAAGTAGTAAATGAATTCTCAAACATTGCCCAAAAATGTAAAATTAAATATGAACAGAAAATCATAGTTGGGCATTTTATTTTTGGAGCTATTTGTTTGCTTAAGCAGAAATTGCAACCTTCCTGTTGTATAGTTGCTCATGGGAAGCTGTGGCAGCTATAGAAAGCGATTTGGCTGTGAAACCATCTGTATCCTTGATGTAATTGTGAAAAATGCTCTTTGATATTGAAAATGTGCTCGTGAGCCAGTCCTGTTGAGATCAAGGAACTGGGTGTTTCTCTTCATATCTCAATGTTTTAATTTCTTTATACTCTGCTTAGTGTTGCTTCTCTATATCAATAACTTTATGGAAGAAAGAGATTGAGATGATGCTTTGCATATATATGTATATGTATATATGTGGGTAGGTGTGTTTGTTTGTGTGTTAATTCGAAACTAAGGTACAGTTTTCTGAAATATATGACTCATATGTAGGAGTAAAAAAACTCGTTCTCAAATTCTTTTGTTCAACTTTGTTATTAACAATCTTATGATTTGAGGAAATGGAAAGCTGTTTTGTTGTAGTATATCTTGTTTATTGAAAAATTAAGTCGTGTCCTATTCGGGAATGCTGAACAGGCATTTGAGCCCCTTGATATTGTGTTATCCCTGAGTGCTTCTTGTAGTATCTGGCTGAACAGACATGCATGTGATTCTTCCACATGGTCATCACAATTAATGTTGCAACCTGCAGGGTCACATAGATGGCTATGAACTTCATCAAATCATTGAGAAACAATATTATGATGAATGAGGTAATTCGGGTGGAGGGGCACAGAATGTTTTCTGCCGGGGCTGGTAAGGCAAAGAAAGGATCTAAAGGGGGTGGGGCTGCTGATGGTCCAAAGGCATCAACGCTCAGCAAAGAAGTCAAGTCCACTACAGTGGTTGGTGCCAATATCCTCAAGGAGGGAGTGGATCCCAAAATCGTGGCGGACTCTGAATATCCAGATTGGCTGTGGCACCTGCTCGACAAACGCCCGGCATTGAGTGAACTAAGGAGGAAGAACACAGAGGCTCTCCCTTATGAAGATCTCAAGCGCTTTGTTAAGTTGGACAACCGAGCCAGGATCAAGGAAAACAATTCTCTCAAGGCAAAGAATTGATCAGAAGTCAGTGTCATTTTTTCTTGGTCAAATTTTCTTTGTAAACTCTGATGTTTGTGTCATTTCTGGAATGGCTTTTGAGACACTATGATCAACACTGGCAAGAAACTAATAATTGCTACAACCTTTTTCTTTGTAAAGGCAAAGAATCAAGTTGTTTGTTGTCTTAGAGACCAGATTATGATTCTTGATGAGATGATACCAGGACTGTCGATGAGAAGAGAGGAAGGTTCATTCGTGTACACTGTTCATTGTCGGAGAATAGCTTACATTAGAAAGTTACAGTTGAAATTGATTCTTTGTTATGACTACGGTTTGCTAAAATGGTTCCTACTTTGTTCAGCAAAATCACAAAACAGTAAGGATTGGGATTGGAATGCATATGTGGGCAAGGGTTAAAATGTTTTGAGGAAACATGAGTGAGTGGTTGTGCTTTAAACATGATTCAATTTCTACCCATAATCATTATAATTTGGTATCGCAGTAAAAAAGGTATGGCCGTGAACTATGTCAGATCGTTGACGAGCATAACCATCACTAAGGACATAATCGGAGTAGTGGGCCACAGAAATTTTGCAGCAATTGGGGTGATTTGGGGCTCCACAGGGAAGTGGGCCCATTGATGCTTCACCACACGATGATCGGGGTATTAAAACGACTAATTGTGTGGTAAACGGGTGACTTGAAACAAAAGATAGAAGATGAAAGAACTGTCTCAACATTGTATTTCCGTAGTGTCTTTTATAGAAGATGAAAGAACTGTCTCAACATTGCATCTTCGTAGTGTCTTCCTTAAAAGAGTACACAATTTTTCGATCAGCTAGTGATGTCTTCTCGTGTGATCATAGAAAAGCAAGGATCAAACATGTGTAATTTTTTTTCTTTTTCCAATTTGCATCTCCATAGTGCTTCCTCAAAAGAATACATAATTTTCCCATCAATTTAGTGCTGTCCTCTCATTTGATCATACCAAAGGAAAGGTCTCAAAGTAAGGTGCTTGATTTGATAATGGGGTCTGGCTTTGATTGAATTCATATTACCATGAAATAGCATGTACTAAGTATAGATATGCTATGCCTCTCTCTTAATTGCCATCATATATCCAATCGATAACCAAAAGCTCATTGGATTATTCAGTTTGGTCCAAAGTCACATCATGCATATTTGCCTCCAACCCAATTTAGCATTGATGGAATGCATCAATGGCTATCTAACCTTTCTAAGGGATTCAATGAGAAGAAATGAAAATTTTCACTGTTCTCTTCTTTGTGGGTCATCCCTTTCATTCACGAGCTTCCACCATTGTGGGTTCTAGAGAAAAATAAATATATTTAATCTTATTATATATGTTTAATGAGACTATTTTCGTAATTTAAATTCGTAATATCCAAATCACATGAGTTCCAATTTTTATCAAACTTTAGATGGGTAAAGCATGCTGTGGTGCACAGCATAGTTTAGACTAGAGAATTCCATCCTCTAATCCATATGTGAGATTAGGAGTGTGCTGTGGCAGACATTATCATGCATGCTTTTCTTTATGTCCATGTGAAGAAGTCCCTTTATAAGTCCCCCCAATCCCATTAAAGTGAGAAAAACAGTAAGTGGAGGGAGAGGGAGAGAACACTGTAACATGAAAAGGCAACTTAGCTAGCAATTTGACACCACATCACATCACATCACATCACATCACATCACATGCATTATTGTGACTTAATGTTGTTAAAGCATAGGCAGGCCAATGAATATATGTAGGAATGTAAGCTAACCCATCCTCTTCTTCCTCTAGCTAGGATGGAGGACGAGTCTTTTTTAGATCGATGAGTACTCAAAACTCAAAAAGTTAAAGCCAACTTCTCACATGGCCTCCTCCTCCTGCTCCTTTAAAGTACAGTCGATGTGTGCATGCTTGGTCCATTCATGTCTTGTTGAGTAACAGCAACGTCACAATATCAAAAAATAAAATAAAATAAAATAAATTGTAAAAGAAATTGATGTATATTATTGATTGTATTGTTACAAGATTGTTTGTATTGTTATTTGTATCTGTATATTACAAGTCCTATATATAGAGAGGTTTTGGGAGTAGTAGGTGTAGAGTGGGTGGTGGTAGTAGGTAAAGTGGAGGTGGTAGGTGGAGTGGGTGAGGAGTAGTGGAGGTGTGTAGTGGTAGTGGTAGGTTTTAGTGGTGTAGGAGGTGTACATTAACATAAATAATGTCAAAAAAATTATAAAAATTTCATATCAATTATTAAGATGCACTTATGAGTAGATTTATAATAGTAATTTTCAATATATACTATTAATCTAAAATTCATAACAATTTTCGGAATACTTTTATAATGTTATAAGTTTCTTGATTGAGTAGTTCCAACCCACACCTCACCACCCCAAGCTTTCAATTTTAGCAAGTGTAGAGATACGTAAACTAAATATATAATCAGTTATAGAAATTAAATGAATAGATAAGATTAGTAAGTTTTGTCAAACCTTGTCTATTCACTTACTTTCTTTGTTCTTTATCATTCTTATTTTAAGTTGGTACTTGCAAGCATAGCCTAAGCCAAGCCTCCAAATAAATATGAAATATGACAAAATATATTGATAGTCACAAAACTAGGACTCCATTTGTTGGAAGAGCTTACATGACTCGATTAGTCAGAAACAAGACTCCCAACATGTAGACGAATATAATATGACAAAACTTGGGGATATGTTTTCACAATACAGAAATGTCCATACCAAACAAAACTAATTAAGCTGCCGTTTGACAACATAGTTGGAAGCGAGTTGAGATTAAAAAAAACACAACAACATGAAATAAGTTAAATAAGTCAATAAAATAAAATGTTACATTCAAATTATAATAATTTCACTTTCTTTCTCACCCAAAAAAAAATAAAAATAAATTCAAAAAGCCATTTTTTTTTTTTTGTGAACAGAACTAATTTAGAATAGGCAAAAAATCAAAAAGTCAAATTAAAAAAATACTTTCTAAACAAACCCGAGCTGCCGTAATAAACAATAATAACTTTGGGATTAAATAGAGGCCAAGCATGTTGATGTTGCCGATTTCTTGTGTCTTTGTAGACATGCAAACTTGGTTTTGTTATAATCGAACAAGTGTGGGTTTCGATGTCCTCGAAGAAGTTGATAAAAAAAAAGGGGTAAGTTACAATTTTTTATTTTATAATTTGATTTAAATTTTATTTTAATCTCCATTGTTTCAATTTGAATAATTTGAATCTCACATTTTAAGTTCAGTTTTAATTTGTCTTTTTATCCAAATTTCCATTAATTTACTCTAAGTCTAATTTTAATTTTGTCTTATCATTTAAATTGTCGGTAATTTTTTCATGTAAACATTAGAAGACTGACAAGTGTTTTAAAATAATTATTTTTAACCTCCAAAAAAAACTTTATTACGTATTAAGAATTCCAAAGTTTCTATGAAGTTTCTTATAAACTTTTTATTTTAAAAAATTATGTCATGGTACAATTTTTACTTATTATTTATATAATATACATAACTAAAACATGCTAATTTTTTGTTTTAGATTGGTAAAATATGCTAATTATTAAGAAGTTGACAGACTCATAATGGGTTTAATGAGAGGTAAGTAGAACCACACACCGACCATTACGTACTGCTTATTCTCATAATTCAACCAACTTCTCGTCAAATGAATTTTAAAACTTTGCGGTTCACATACGTGTAATAATTTATTTGTATGATGATATAATAAAATTTACAAAATTACGATGTACTCCTATCTAGATCATTTGACTTTTTGTCTCCTAAAAAAAATTATTCAATGTGTTTGATTTTAATTTTTTTGAAAATTGAATTTTTTATTTTTCGTGTTTTTTTTTTATTTTTAGTATATTTTTAAAATTTTAAGTATTTTTTTTTTTACTTTTTTAGATGCACCTTTATTAGATGAATCTAAAAAGTAAAATATTTGTGAAAAAATATTTTAAAAAATTAATAAATACACAAAAATATAAAAAATATACTGAATTTTCGTATTATTTTTATATTTTTGGTATTTAGTGAATTTTTTAAAGATTTTTTTACAAAAATTATACTTTTTAAGTTTATTTATGTTAGGTGTGTTTAAAAATTTTTAAAAAAAATCAGTAAAAATAAAAAAAAATACGGAAAACAAAAAAGTAAAATTTTTTAAAAAGTATTTTCAAAAAATTGGAAATAAACATAGTAATTATATTTAGAACATAATGTTCAGCCATTTTATCAAATATATATTTTTAAAAAAGTCTGGATTGCGTCTTAATTGAGTAACTGACAATCTTTTTTTCCTTCGTCTATTCTGTTTTAACGGAAGACTAACTAACAATAATACTAAAATAATCAAAATATTCAACATGACCCCTTTGAATATTTGAAAATTTCATAATTTTTTCAACTTTCTAAAATTTAGCAAAAAACCTCAAAGGCTACACAATTCTTTTGGGAACAATGGTAAAAAGATAATTTTTTGGCTTTTTAACTTTTTTTATTTTTTTTACCAAAAATAACTCAATTTTTTATCCAAAAAAAATCATAAAAAAAGTCAAAAAACTAAAAAATCAACTTTTTACCAACTTCCAAAACACGACAATAAAACCCTCTTCCCTTTGGTTCAGCTTCTAGCTCCATCTTCACACCAATCTCTCTCTCTTTCTCTCTCTCATCATCTCTCATCATGCATGCACTCTTGATATCTCCAACATTATTTATACATGTTTTACACTTGCACACTTCAAAAGGAATCTCTGCTTTTTATACATGGTATATGTAGATATATTTTTTTTATATAAAATTTTCAGTATTATTTGTAAACCGTATCAAAACCAATCTTCTCATTTTTTATATAATTTTCCTTCTCATTTCCAACTTTCCCTTTGTAGGGCATCTTTCCCCCTTCTGGTTTTGTTGCTTCCTGCGATTAATGATGGCTTCCTACCTCTTTCTCTTTCATCATACCATCTAGTTGATACTATTACTTATTCCTCTCTCTCTCTCTCTCTCTCTGTTCTTCTTGGCATAATCTCTAATGGATTCTCTTTACTTCGCCATGTGATTCTCCTGTATATCTTCATCTACTTTTGTCGGAGTTTTAATGGGTATTACTTGCACTACATGTGGTTTGTTCAACTGCTCATGACAATTATATTTTTGGGTACTTTTCAGTTTTCATCAACTTTTGTAAGCTTTGACAGCTATTCATAATTTCCCCAAGTGGGTATGTTGTTATTTTCCCTCGCTTAGACTCTCCCCTTTTTTCCCGGTAAATTTGCCTCTGAAAGA